TAAATTCCACCTTCCATAGGAGGCTAAATAGTTGTGGCAATTGCCTGTGGATTGTTGGATAACACATTCCTGAATTTTTGGAGGCATTCCACCAGATATGCTGCCTTTGGTTTTACTATAAAACACAATGTAAGGCACAGGGAAGTCCTTATTGCTTGAAGCAGTAACCGAAGTGTATCACTCCGTACTTGGTTTTCCATCTTTCAATATTAGAAGTGGAGCCTCCACATGACCACAAAAAAACTCAGGGGATTATAATCGTATCTCTTAGTATGATTCTCAGTCTGCAGCTTCCTGAAGCTTGGTTTTCTATCCTCGGTTCTCCATGCCATAACATTTTCTTTGAGTCTTTTCTGTGGTTAAAGCTTGTCAAGAATCTGATCTGTTAGGCACATGACCAAGGTGGGTGGCAGTACTGGGGATAATTACAGGCCAGTGGAGGTAATTGGTATTCGGATTAGCTAAGGGCAGGCGTGGTACAGGTGTGGCTGACTATGGAATGAGATGAGTGAAGGAACACAGAGGTGAAAGCATGTGACCAGTATCAGGGTTTGCTGAAGTCTGGAGGACAAAGTTGAAGGAACAGCAAGTAAAATTCTGCTCAACTGGATGGAGAAGCATCAGGCTAAGAATTTGTGAGGGAAGATGTTGCTCGGAAAGCATGCAACACTGCTTTGGCACACTCTCTGTTCCACCCAGCAGAAGAGCCCTTTAAAAGCTTAGCACGGTTGGTCTCTCAAGATAAGCAACGGCCATGTGCAGTTCGGATAGTCAGCACACACAGGTGTGGCCACACAGGTGGCTTAGGGATGGATGACTTCTGTGTCATACCAGTTGTTAAATACTTTGAATATCACCCTTGTGCCTGTGTATAATTTCTCTATCTTTTTTGGTAACATTTCTATCAAGGGCACCAGCTACTCTGCTATTCAGTGTCCTCATAAAGATTTATATGATAAATTTCACTTGGCATTTAGAACTCAGGATGATACATATTTTTATGCTGTAGTGTACAGTTCCAATTAACATTAGCACTGAAGTCACCGGAAGGGTCAGTTTCTTTATAGGGCAGTGACTACTGACAATTCGTCTTGGCTGACTGGATGTCATCCAGTACATTGGCCAACGAGGCCAAGGCACACATCTGTGTTATATTTCAACCTCCTTCTTGCCCTGTTCTTTTCCTCTTTAATTTGGACCTAAGCTTTTGCTACTGAGTACCTAAGTGTAGCATTGGGAGGTTCCCTTATCATTCATTCATTCATTCCTCCCACAAATATTATAGAGTTCCTACAAGGTGAGGAACAATGGTGAGCAAAGCCTGACTTGGTCCTTGTCCTCGGGGAGTTTAGAGTCAAACAGATAGCTCATGGCACAATAAGCCAACAAGTCACTTCCTCATTTATGGCTTGAATCTCACCCCTGCCTACTTCCCCTAAACCTTGCCTGGTTCATTATTTTCCTTCTTTGCAACTTCAATTTCTTTAATAAATAATCTTCCCCTCTGCCCACCAACATGTGCATATCTCCGTTGTACTGAAATGATAATCCTCTTGTCTTCATTTAAGTTCTTGATTATCATCTTCTTTCCCCATCAACAGACTTCACAAGCAAGTTAGCCTTCACCTCCCACTGCCCACTCATTTCTTAACCACCTATAGTCCTGCTTCTACCCCTACTTCTCCGAGTGGCCAGGTAATTTGACTGCTCTGTGTGTCACCTCTATTTGATCAACTGAGAGTTCTTTTCGTTGCCATGCTAAGACTAAGCAGCAGGCAAGAATGGGCCTTTAAATCTGTACACCTCTGTCCCTGAAAGCCTTCCCTCTAACTCATCCTAGAAAAAAATGGCCCCTGGAGGAAGCAACTAACTAGCTGTTAGACCTTAGGACGAGTCACTTAAGGCCTCAGTTGCGTTATCTGTGAGATGGGTAAGTTCTGCCGAGATCTCTTCTTGCCTTAGGAGTTTGTGGGTGTAGGAAATTAGATGAGGAAAGAGCCAAGGGTAAGAGTGTCTCCTGACCCTAGGGACGGTAGGACAGCAAGGAGGTAGCAAACTTTCTGATAGCTCACGGAGAAAAGGTAGTTGGGGAAGGGAGGCCAGAAGGGGCTGGAGGGCAGTGAGGAGACTGCAATGGGGAAGAGCAAAGGGGCAAAATAAACTCTTTCCTGGAATTGAAGCAGGGCCTGGTTGGCACCCCCACAGTAGAGGCTTCTCCTCTCCCAGCCTCACCTTTACTTGACCTACCTATAGCTCAACAATAGATCAACCCCCTGTGGAAAGTTACCCTGAAACTTATGATTATTACCCTTAGGCTTATTGATCACAATCTCTATGGTCTAGCATTCTTTCCAGGCTAATTCCATCATTGTTCCTGGGTTGCTGACTCCACCACAGAATCATGTGGCCACAGGGAAGGCATCATGCAGACCGCCTCCCAGACCTGTCATGTAACCTCTAGAGCAGCGGTTCTCAACCTTCCTAATGCCGCGACCCCTTAATACAGTTCCTCATGTTGTGGTGACCCCCAACCATAAAATTATTTTCGTTGCTACTTTATAACTGTAATTTTGCTACTGTTATGAATCGTAATGTAAATATCTTTTTGTTTTCCGATGGTCTTAGGCAACCCCTGTGAAAGGGTTGTTTGACCCTCAAAGGGGTCGCAACCCACAGGTTGAGAACCACTGCTCTAGAGGGATGCCCAGATTTTCCTTTAAAGACCCCAAGCTGGTCTGAGAATGGGAAAGCAGTTTTTGGAGGTGTTAACCTGCTGCCTTCTCAGACCACCAGTGCTCTGATAATAAATACTTATTCTTCGACTCAACTTCTGTGTCGGTCTGTTGGCTGAGTGGCACAAGTAGCATGAGCCCTGGACTCATTGGGCCTCTGGTTTCAGAATCATAGCTATAGACACTCATCAAACAAGAAGCTATGTGCAGGCTCTGAGCTTGTAGACCCAGAATATGCTGAGCTTGAAGCGTATCCTTGACTTGTGTGAGTTCCATGGATAGAAATATAGACATCTTCCTTCCCAAAATGAAGATCTACAAGTACCAACTATTATGGTTAGTCGAATACATCAAACTCCCCTATTAGAGATGAGTGCCTTGAGGGCAGCGAGCCTCTTTTCAATCTTTATAGCTTTCCAACCACTGTAGGAAGTAGGCACTTGGTTCGTTAAATTGAACTGAAATATATTCTTAGATTTTTTTCCAGCTTGGTACTGAAGGGAAATTCTGAGAGTGATTTAGAGTGATTAATACATTGGATTATTTTAGCATTAATGTTTGTGCTTTATATATTCTACTTATATGAAACTTTCCCTCATTTATTTACTTACTTATTCATTTGTTATCTGTTTTTTTCCACAATGTAAGCTTTGGAGGACAGAAATAGTACTCCCTACACTCCCAACACTTAGAAAAATGCTTGGCACATGGTGGGGCTCTTGATAAATATTTATTGAATGACTGCATGGGGAAAATCTCTACTTATGATTCTTATATAATGAAAAGTTAGGGCCTGCCTGCTTGCCTTCAGGACTGAGGAAGTATAGCTAGCGATTTTCTCTTCTCTGCTTTCTCATGCCTTTCCTCTACCCCAATGGCAGAGTTTGGGCAGCTCTGGAATGGGTGGTGGGGAAGGGGAGTGTGTCCACCCCATCGAGCTGAGAGAGTGGAACTTTGTCACCCTGCAGCCACCCAGAAGGTCCCATAGCTGTCTATTTGAATCTGCTGCAGTCTGAAGCTCAGTAGGGAAGGTTTGGTCAGGGAATGGCCAGTCTCACATGAGTTGTGTTGGGGCTCAGCAGGGAGGATCCCCCAGCAGAGCACTAGTGAGTACCACCATGAGCTCTCACCCATGTATCAGCTGCCTTGGCAGAGGTTCTGTCCCCCAGCACCAGCAGTTGGTAGGCCCCATCTCCTCAGGAAAATTCATAGTCATTGGTCAACAGAGATACAAAAGAATGAATTGGTGTGTCAATAGCTGTTAATTTCATCAATGTGCAGGTATTTGTTCTGAAAGCCAAGCCTAATAAAACACAAGGGCTGTTGTCTTCATGCTGGATATGGAAGGTCCTACCTTCATGTGTGCTCACAGGCTGGTGGAAGCCATGACCTAATCTAATGATGGCGGAAAGGAGCAGCCATTCTTGCTGCTCTCAGAAAGTGTGGCTGAGCCATGAAGAGGATAAACTTTACCTTCGGTGGCCTATGCCCTCCCTCTGTGGCCCTTACCTGTTTCAATGTCCCTGTGTTCCTAAATGGGAAGAGAACCACCTGCTTGATTGAATTCATAAGTCTAAGGCATTTTGTAAGTTTCTAAGGTAATTTGTTTCTCCTTCTGTTAAGTATTTGAATTCTAAAAGAAGATTGCTTAAATAAGTAACGATTATGCCCTTTGATTTGGTAACCTCCTTAGAAGAATAAAATACAAAGGAAGAACCCAAAAGCAAGAGGAAGGAGGAAAAAAACTCAAATTTGCAATAATAGGGAATGGTGAAATCAGTACAATTGAATACTATACAACTTTTAAAAAACAAGAAGACTGAGGCATATGTACAAATCTATAAGAAATAATGTTGGGAGAAAAAAGCTAGCTCACAAAATAGTTCATGTACTGGTTACATATCTGATTACTGATTTGTAAAAATATGTTCATTTCTTATACACTGTAAAAGTGTTCTATATTCTATATCACTAATCTGTCTCTAACACAATGCTTTGCATGTGGTAGGTATTTTGGAATATTTATTAAATGAATGAAGGAACCAGAAGTAAATTTAGAGAAATGCTTGGCATTTATATTCATCAGATTTCTTTTACTGTAAAGCTGCTTAAATGCATAACAAAAGAGTTTTTAAAAAAGATTATCTTTTCAATTTCATGTATATGAAAGGAAAGGAAGGAAATATTAATACAAAAACATTAACAGTTGTGGTGTCTGAGTCATGAATTACGGGTAATTTCTATTTTCATTTGTAAACTTCTCTGTAGGTTCTCAATTTTCTACAATAACCATGATCAGGGAGAAATTATTTGTTTAAAGGATCATCCTGAGACAGCAAGTTATAAACCCAAAAGAACGAACCTCTGTTGTTGAAATCGCAGGCACTGTGGTGAGCTTGGGGGTGGGAAATGGCTGGCATCTCTCAAGTCTCACAACACAGACCACCGCCAACCCAGTCCTCTTACATATACAACTGCCTTTGGCATTCAGACTTCAAAAGTGAGAAGCAGCTACTGCAGCAAGCCTGATGGAAGCCTACATATGTTAGAGACGCACGCCTGTGTTTCCATCATTAATGCTTGGGGAAAATAGGTGAAATTGTCACCTTGGAAGGATGCAAAGAAAGCATTCAAAGCATTCAAAGCATAAATTTAACATAACCAAAATGTCCATCATAGAGAATATAATCCCCAAGATTCAGTTGTAAAAACCAAAGGAAATGTATGGTTCCTTCATCTTCTTAGTTGAGGTTAGAATGCACGGACAATGTTCACCTTAGGAGAAACAGGACAACTGTTGAGACTTAAAGTGTGAAGTGGTCATGCAGAAAGGAAGGTTGTCTTTTAAACATGGTCACACCTACATTGCCACTGGGCCCAAGGCACCCTGGAGCTGCAGATATCACTGGAGAATTCACCACCAAGTGCGAAGCAAGACGATGTTGCTAAGTTCTTACCTCTGAAAAGTGAACTAACTAATGTAGAAGCAAAGAATATTTTAGAGAATAGCTGCTGCATAATGTACAGGAATAAAGTTATAGCAGCAAATCAATAAGACCCGGCAAAGAGATCAGAAAACCTGGTATTTGATAATGGAACACGATAACATTGTAAGTTCTTTATTTGGCTTTAAAAAATCAACTTCCTGGGCAAAAAGTTTTACTACCCAAATAACAACTTAGGAGGTACTAGAACAAAAAGAAACTTACATAATTCAAAATCACTATCATGAGGGGGTAAAAATCATTTAATTTTCAATTGTTAAAAAGAAATTTGGGCCGGCCGAGTGGCGCTATGGTTACGAACTGGCTTGGGACACCAGAGAGCCCTGGTTCGGATCCCATATATGAGGGCCAGTGACACTGCCCTCTACAGCTAAGATGCTGAACAACAGCTCAAACTGGAGCTGGGCTGCTGGAAGTCACCGGTGACGGCGTAGGCTGCAGCCCCTGTGACAGTGGGTTGCCATGGGCTACCGTGTGTAGCCAGCAGCCAGCGTGAGCGGCCAGCAACCGCAGTGAGCGGCCGTCCAGAAGCCGGCGACTGATGTGCCTCACTCGGGAAGAGCGCAATGATGGTGCCAACTTGGGCCAGTGAAGCAACGTCCTCCACAACTAAACTGAAGAACAAAAGGACAGCAACTTGTCTGTTCCCCTTCCCCCAACTCCCCAGCACTGTTCCCATCCCCCCAATTCCCCAATAAAAAATCTTAAAAAAAAAAGAAATTCACTAGATGTTTTAAGTGAAACCCTATGTTTATGAAATACTTGTTTCATACCACATGCTAGAAGATAGTAACCTTTAGCAGAGGTTAGATAGCTTAAATAAAAGCAGCATTTTGATAGGCTCAGAGTAAAGCATGGGTGTGTATAAAGGGGTCAACATCCAGTCTTGGACCACAAAGTGAACCTAGAGTCTTGTTGCTTTGGAAACAATAAAGTTTGGGTAGATGTAGAATGTTTGTACAGTAACCTTCTTGTATAAAACTCTATGCCTCGGTTGTAAATCAACTCCACATCTCTGTCAAAAAGGACTTAGATTCTCCAGGCAAGAGACGGATGCTCCATTCTAACTGATATAATTACAAACACTAAAGATCCTGATACATATGATTATAGAGAACAAAGTTTCTCAGTGAGTAGGAAAGCAGTAGTCGCTCGAAGAAGGCAGCTATTATGACGCTTTACAGCTGCAGTATGTCCTTCGGGGACACTGCATCCTGTTAACTGTGCAGCTGGCTTTATCTGTGCCTATTCTTCTAGCCTGATGAATGTCTGGGCAGATTGTTACCTCCTTGGTTTGAACTAAGTTTTACTTTCTCATGGGCAAACACTATACTAAGTGCTTTGCATATATTATTTCCATTCATCTTTGCAACAATCCTTTGCTAGCATTTTATTTACAGATGACTGAGGTGTTTAAAGTGTTCAGTTCAAAGTCACACTGCTACTAAGGGGCAGAGCCATTTCAAACCCAGGTCTACCTAACTCTAAACTTAGTCTTCTTAATGACTATACTCCAAGCAAATGTAGAAATTAAAGACTATTAAAAGGAAAATTGACAAAATTCATTTTGTGGGAAAGTGGCAGGCTCATGCATTGTAGGTAGGACCATAGATTGGAACAATTTTTCTGGAGATCAGTAGTAAAAACAAGTATGTACCCTTTGAGCCAGCAATTAACCTTCTAGGAATTTAACTTAAGAAAATAATTTTCAAACTGTGCACAGAGGAGTGCATTAGAATTACATATCAGTTTACAAAAATAAATACACAAAAACCAGAAACAATGTAAACGTTTTCCAGTAGGGATTGGTTAAGTAAGTGGTTAAAGAGACATACAATGCAAGAGTAGTCAGCCATTTTAATGATGAAAATATACTGTACCATAAAAGACACCAGATTATCAATGAGCATTTATAGTGTGATTTTTTATTATGTAAAATTGAATACCTTACTGTATTTATATGTGCAAATAAATATATAGTCAATATATGGAAAGGTGTTCACTATGTTTTTTTCTGACTCAGTGGAGTTTGTGTTTTTACTTTTTGTACTTTTCTTTATTGTTTGAATATTTTATGAATTTGTTTCATTACAAAACAAAGAATTATTTGAAAATAAGTGTCACAAGTAAATCAGTTCTTGCTTCAGTAACTGATCATGTACTCTAGCCAGATGTTTTATAGAACTTGGAATCTATTATGCTTCGGAGAAAATTCAACAGGTATGTTACAGACCCTGGTCACATAACTAGTATGTTTCTATTCTATTAAAGGATTATTATTAATGTATGGGGTTCATAGGACCTGGACTAAAACCAGATCTATTTGGGTAATAAAGTTAAATGTCTTACATTTTCATCTAACAACTCTCTTCGAAGAACTTTCATTTAGGAGTCAGTCCTACTTGTTGATTGGCATTGTACTTTGGGAGTAAAGGAACTTTCACTTAAATAACTAACGTAAATAGATTTCAGAGAGGCTGTTGTGGGGTTCAAAAAGTAAACCTAACTAATAAATCTTTTGCCCCTGCATTAATGGTTCCTGGGGGGTTAGTTGGGAGAAAGGAAGCCAGCCTGTTTAGGAAAAGTAGATGGAGCTGGACAGGTATTGAAAATGGCTAGAGGAGAGAAGACCAATTGGGAGAGATAAAAGCAGGTTATAAGTTCATGAAAAGTGACCAACATCACTAATCATCAGGGAAATCAAATCAAAACTTCAATGAGATAGCATCTCACATCCATTAGGATGGCTACTACAAAAAAAACACAAAAAACACAAATCAACAAGTGTTGGCAAGGATGTGAAAAAGTTGGAACCCTTGTGTACTATTGGTGAAAATGTTAAAATAGTACAGCTGCTGTGGAAAACAGTAAGGAGGTTCCTCAAAAAAAATTAAAAATAGAATGACCATATGACCCAGCAATTTCACTTCTGGGTATATACACAAAATAATTAAAAGCAGGGTCTCAAAGAGATATTTATACAACCATGTTCATTGCAGCATTATTCACAATAGCTAAAATGTGGAAGCAACCAAGTGTCCCTTGACGGATGAATGGATAAGCAAAATGTGGTCTATACATATGGCAGACTATTCAGCCTTAAAAAGGAAGGAAATTCTGCAATATGCTACAACATGGATGAACCTTGAGGACATTATGCTAAGTGAAATAAGTCAGTCGCAAAAAGACAAATATTCTATGATTCCACTTAGAGTAGTCAAAATCATACAGACAGAAAGTATATGGTGGCTGCCAGGGGCTGGGGGAGGAGCGAATGGGAATTATTGTTTAATGGTATAGAGAGTCAGTTTTACAAGATGAAGAGTTATAGAGATGATGGTGATGGCTGCACAACAATGTATTTAATCACTGAACTGTACACTTCAAAATGGTTAAGATGGTAAATATGTGTACTTTAACACACATGTACACAAAAAGTGGGTAATAACTGTTTTGGCAAGTGATTATGATTTGTAGAAGAAGAAAATAGTAGAAGGGTTTTACTAAGAGTTTAACTTAAGAAGGAGTCTCACCCTAGAAAAGTTTTTTCTTTAGCATCTACAGATGATTATGGCAATATAAATAATACCTTAAGTTTCATTAATCATTCAACAAAATCTCAGCACTGCATATCCTAAGGATGTTTTAAAGTTAATTAACACTGAGCTGCAGGTGTTGGGGGTGGGGGCCGGAAGAAAAGATGCAGGTGTTATTAACAGTTGAAGCTGCGGAAACAAACCAAGTCAATCTAGGTGAGAGGAAAGGAGGGACAAAATAAAACCTTAAGGATATCAACATTTTATGGCTTTGCGAAAAAGGAGCAGCCAAGACAAGTGCTAGAAAAGGGAAGGTCAGAAAACAGGTGGAGAAAGCGGAATGATGTAGAAGGCAGAGGAAGAGAGCACAGTTTCAAAAAGGAGTCAGCAGTATCAGGCGCTGTAGAAAGGCATGGGAGGACTGAAACGTCCACTGGCTTTGGCAACCAGCAGTTGCTAGAGTGTAGCCCCAACAGGAGTCAGCATTAACTCACACGTGGCTCACTTGTAGGCACCTTCACACAGTCTGGACTGGACTGGAGTAGGAGGCAGGTGCTGTAGAAGGGGACTAAACCAGCTCTTACTGGGGATGGGGACTCTGCAGGTGGCTAGAGGTCTTGCTAAACCAGACGGAGGCAAGGCCCAGCGCCCCAGTAACAGGTCTTTGACAAGAATTAGTTGAATTAATATATAAAAGAATGAATCTATAAATGAATGCGGAGTGTGGGCTAAAGGTTGTTTCATGCGCAGGACAGGAAGTGGATGCTGATCTAGGGGATCGCAGTGAATGATGGCAGAATGGAGGACAGCCTTTGGGAGAAGTTGCCCGCTGCTTCAGAGGGATGCCAGGGAGATTGGTGTTTTCAAAGCAAAGTCAGGTTTCAGTTAGGAGAAGCGGTGTGAAGGGCTTAAGGATTTACAGAGGTTGCTGGAAATTAAAACTGGGCAGAAAATACTGGAAGACATTTAGCAGAAATCGTTGGGAGATAGCAGGCACGTGAAAGGATTGTGGCACGTGAAAGCAGCCAACTGGGAATGAGAGCAGGACAGGATAGATGTATGCTTCACAAAGTACTTCCGCAGCCAGTGACGCATGCATCAATCCTTTGCACAACCCGGGGAGAGAGATAGGTATTATATTGCCAGCCTTTGGAATAAGGGTTGCTTTTCAGATAAAGCCATCATGGCACAGAAAGCCTGTTCAGCAGCTGTTTGATTCCTCTGGTGACAAGAAACACTCTACTTTTGGAAGTAGCACTTCCACTACAGAATTGAAAAAAAAAAAAGCCGGTGGAAAAGAAGAAAGGTGTGGGCCCTCTTGAGGGGAAAACTCTGTCAACGTTAGACATTTTGGGTAATTCACAGAATTACTGCCGAGCCAGACGTGTCAGTCAGCTCTTTTCATCAGTGCAACGAAGGGGGCAGATGATCTTTCTTTTCCCTTGTCTAACAGCCTGTGAAATCATCTAGGCAACCACCTCCCAATTTTACAGAATAAAAAACGAGGCCCGCGGGATGTGTCCAGCTCAAAGTAATACAACAAATTAGTGGAGGGACGGGCCCAGAACCGACTCCTTCCCGGTCCACAGGGCCTCTCGCCGCTCCACAACCTTCTCTGAAAGATAAGCCCAGCGAGAGGCTGCAGGCCGGCGGCCTAGCTGAAAGCACGCTGGGGTTCGAGGCCGCTTCCCGGCAGCAGTCAGAGGAACGCCCCGAGGGGAGGGGAAGAGTTGGGGCCTCCTTTCCCACACTTCGTTAGGAC